TATTTTTCTCTATAAAAATATGCCCACTCCAACAACAAAAAAATGAGGTCAGCTGCCTACCTGAATATACTGAATGCCCATATTTTTCCATCAATTGATTTTTCTTCCCTGATGGCACAATGAGTATATTCCAAGATGACAAAGCCAGGATTCACCGGGCTCAGATTGTGAAAGAGTGGTTCAGGGAGACATCATTTTCCCACATGGATTGGCCACCACAGTGTGCAGACCCTAACTCCATTAAGAATCTTTGGGATGTGCTGCAGAAGACTTTACGCAGTGGTCCGACTCTCCCATCATCACTACAAGATCTTGGTGAAAAATGAATACAACTCTGGATGGAAAAGTTGTGACATGGCATAAGCTTATTAAAATGATGCCAAGGCAAATGTGTGCCATAATTAAAGCTAAAGGGGGTCCAATGAAATATTCGAGTGTGTGACTTTTTTTTTGACTAGGCGGTATGTACAGGTGAAACTCACATAATTAGAATATCGTGCAAAGTTCATTTATTTCACTAATGCAACTTAAAAGGTGAAACTAATATATGAGAGAGACTCATTACATGCAAAGCAAGATAGTTCAAGCCGTGATTTGTCATAATTGTGATGATTATGGCTTACAGCTCATAATATAGTCCTGTAGTCCCAATGATTCACTAAGATTTGGCCCTGTTCACAAATTCTCTGACATGGTAGGCATTGTGCTGGCAGACGTGGCTTAGTTAGTGTATGTGTAATAGCCTCAAACTGATGCTTTTGCATTATTGTCAATTATAAAGGTTGATCACATTCAGCAGAATTTGGAATGCCCAAGCACTTTCAGAAGGCAACTGTAGCTTAAACGGATAACCCCTAGCACCACTTGCAGTTTTATATTGTACAACCCATTACAGAGTACATAAGCCTACAGTCTAATGTCCCTACAAGAGCGACATACAAGCAGTAAAACTAATGGTATGATTTGGGTTGTTGGAGAAATCCTGAGTGTTCAGAGGAAATACGAGGAAATATACAAACCACATGCAGGTAAAGCATAGACCCAGGATTGTAGAGAACTACAACCACACAGTACTAATCCCTACACCTCTGTGCCTTTTAGTATATTGTATACGCACACTGGAACAGTTCTGGGCAGTTTATAATTGGGGTCTATCACCTCTGAATCTCTAATTGTTATTTAATTCTACACCACAAAGCCTCGAGCAGAACCTGGCACAGCCTTTACTTACTTTCTGTTGATTTTTCCAGTTGGGGACTAGTGACTTACATTGGTATTTTCATTTATTATTATTATTATTTTTCAGGATTTATATAGCGCCAACAGTTTGCACAATGTTTTACAACATAAGGAAGACATTACAGTTACAAAACAATTCAAGACAAGTTGTTTAGGAGGGGCCTGTCCTTGAGAGCTTACAATCTCAAATTATTTTTACCAAGTCTCTGCTTTAAAGAGGGGAAGCACAAGATTTCCAGCAGCTCAGGAAACATACAGCTCTCTCCTGTTCATGTAGACTCTAGAGAAGCACACGGCCAATGATCGCTCTCCCTATGCAGAAGGAAGGACCTCAACTAGTATGGAGGTTTTTATGCCAGAAATCATCATATGAATGTTGGAAGGGATTCAGCCAGTACAAGAAGTGTGTTTGTATACCAGAACCAGCATATAAATGTTACAAGGGATGCAGCCAGTACAAGAAGTGTTTTTGTATACCAGAACCAGCATATACATGTTAGAAGGGATGCAGCCAGTACAAGAAGTGTGTTTGTATACCAGAACCAGCATATAAATGTTTGAAGGGATGCAGCCAATACAAGATGTGTGTTTGTATACCAGAACCAGCATATAAATGTTAGAAGGGATGCAGCCAGTACAAGAAGTGTGTTTGTATACCAGAACCAGCATATACATGTTAGAAGGGATGCAGCCAGTACAAGAAGTGTGTTTGTATACCAGAACCAGCATGTAAATGTTAGAAGGGATGCAGCCAGTACAAGACACCTCCTTTAATCACCCCAGATAGAATTATGTCTAAATACATAAAGATGGTCATATGTCCCACTGACCACACCATCGCCTCCACAGCAGGTAAATTATAAGGTCCAATGCTAAGCAGGAAGTTTCTGGAAGGGGTTATTGCTGCATGGTTGGCTTATTAGCAAGAGGTTGTTTGGAAAATTCCCTTTGGAAATACAGTACTGGTAGTCATTAGAAGTTTTCTGCTTATTCCTCACAGATCTAAGGAGCACTGCGCCTGTATGTTCATTGCACACTGTGTAAATATAAATTATTTACTACAATTTTTTTAAAGATCTGAGAAGTTTCTTCAATAATTTCTTTCCTGCTTGTGGCATCTCTGCAGCACTGGCTGCCCAATCCTTGGATTCACGGCAAAGGAATGCACTCTGGAAAATGTGACTCTTTACTGGACAAACCCTTGGAGTGCCAGGGCTGCTTGTATTGCATAACAGGGGAGCTATTAACAGTTTCCATGCAGGCGGCCTCTGAGTGGGACTGTACATTGACTTGCATAGCTCAAAATATAGACTCCTCTTGTGACTAAGGATTGCATTATAAAAATTAACCGCTATAAAAGTTATTTCTGAATACAGAAAAGCAGCGATACTTTACCAATATACTTTTTAGTTCTGTGCCTACAATTCATTTAGAGATAAGCGATAACATTTTATTTTAGTTTTAGTTTTTTGTTTTTTTTAAATCATGGGCTAATTTTTCTTTGTATTGCAGGAATGCATGCGTTAACATATTGCCTGACAACGCATGTTACATGTGTTGACACATTGTGCTGCCATTCATTTTGAGTGACACCCTAAAGGACTAACGCAACCTTAAATTTTGTGACATCCAATCTTTGGGGCGTTTTGGTGCATCAGAAACCTATTCATTTCAATGGGCTGCTTTAATGGAACGCACATTACTAGAGCTGCAGCTAACGATTATTTTCAAAATCGATTAGTTAGCCGATTATTAAGTTCGATTAATCGGTTAATCGGATAAACAATAAAAAAAATGGCTCCACTGATGGGACTACTAGTTTGTATTGAGATTGCACTCCATCACTGGAGTAAGCTTGGAGCGGTGGAATTAAAAAAAAAAAGAAAAAAAAAGTGTGGTGTGCAATATAGTGAAATGGAAAGTGTAAAATTATACAGCAATCAATGCAGAATGGCACTGGCTATAGAGGACTACAAATCCCAGCAATAGTACAATATACAGCGACCACAATACATTAGCGCATTGCACAAATGTAAGTGGGCCCATCTATGTTATATCATATGATTTCTTTTTTTTCTCTATGAATATACAATCTTTTGTTTTACAGATAAACATTTAATAGATGACAAAAGATTTCTAGAGCATCCTGGGTCATCTAAAGAGACAGGAGAGAGGGAGCTTGCTTTACAGCTTCCTTTTTCTGATCGAAACCTTTGATTCAGCCCCCCTGAAAATTATTTAAATGATGATTAGAGTGCTAGCTGCACATTTACAATAATAAAAATAAAATAGAAATTTTATTTTGTAGTCCTGAGCAAAATAAACAAAGAAAATATGGACAAGACCATTAAACATTACAATTAAAAAGTCCTGTTTTGTGTATACTGCCATTGCCAGCTTTTAATCCATTATAATTGCTTTCTGCAAACGTTAACTTCTGACTTGCTTGACAGGCTTTCTGAACAATAGGTATCATGGAGTTTAAAAAGTAAGAAGTACAGGAAGTGCTTGCGATATTGCAGAATCTTGGGATGGCCAGTTATGGGAGACCAGTCACCAAGTATTGACTTATTTGCATCTCTGTACAGATAACATTACCAATATGTCTTACATTCGGATGCAGCGTTTTGAAAAATTGCTGTGAAATAATGTACGCTTAAGACCCAAATTGTCGTTCAAGAGTTAAACAGTCTTATTGTCTCGAGATGTTGGAATATGGAACCACTTGACATAATTTGGAAATGTGTAGCTTAAAGGATCACTATGCCAAATAATATTCTATTCTGTTGATGGTGTTGGGTTAATTCGGAGTATTCGTTTTTTTGTTTTGTTTTCATTTGAAATGCCATTATATATATTTTTTCTAATGTTTACAATGCAGACCAAGCTGTCTAGCAAAATTAGAGTTTACGGGGTTAGAACAACCCTTATCATTGCGGGTGGTGCTTCCAATGGTCAGTTTTTAATAATATAGTTGAATCCTTTTTTTCCAAAAAGTGTCCATTTAACTGCTTAAAGTGATAGCAAAGTTGGTGTTTTTAATTTGTTTGTTGCTTGCTTAAAGCATATCTAACCCTAAAACAAATGTGTAATATATTGCAGCTTGCCAATACTTAAATGTGGTGCCTGCATTATTTTTCTTTTTTTTTCCCCCCGTTTATCTGGTGATCCAACCAGTAACACACTTTTTGTCCTTAGGTTGACTCCACTCTATGGAGGAGCAATAGAGCCATCCTTGTACAGCAGCATTGTCAACTTGTGAAGAGGGTAGTGTTAGATGGACTAGCAGATTTGGATAAACTTGACTAACAAATTCAAACTGAACTCCAGCTAACACTTTTTAAGCAGTTACAGTTAGATCATTTTGAGATAAAGGTGTTACATTAACAAATGCTGACCGCTGTTAACGCCCCTGTCAGTGTCAAATAGTTTGTCTCAACCCTTTATCGGCCACTTCTGCTGGACAGCCTTGTTGGGTAAAGGTGGTTGAAAAACGTATAGGCTGGATTACAAGGGCAAATTTAAGGGAAATGAGCCTGAAAAAAGAAAAACTAACGCAGTGAACACTTCCAAGGATTTAACACATAAAAAAGACTGTTGCAGTGGAGATTCAGAAAACCAAAAATTGCTGTGTTAATACTATTGACAGACTGCGCCATATTTGCCATTCTTGTTTGCCTATTAGCACAGAGCAAAGTACTTTAGTACAAACACTATGCCATTAACTGCCATCATTAATGCAGATTTCTCCCTTTCTTTAGTGAGGATGAAGATGAGGACCAATGTGCAGACCGTGATTATGAGATTCCAGTACAGAAGGGGCAAAAGAAAATCTGGAATAGAGTGAAGTGGACCAAGGAGGAGGTATTGCTTGTTTATACTGCTGTTCCTTCTAATACTGTAATTACTAGTTTTAATCTATTTCATGTTTTAACAGGATGACAAATTAAAGAAGCTAGTTGAAGTGCATGGGACTGATAACTGGAGTTTGCTCGCATGCAATTTCCTGGTAAGATTTATGAGAACTCTGAGAAATGAAAGGTGTGGACTGGGAGCAGCTATAGCCGGCTGATATATGACACTGTTTCATGGGGAAATCCACCTTCCCAAAAACTGACTTTTTTAAATCAATAAGTGCTATCTGCATGTAGATAGTGTTTGTGTTCCAGGTAAACTATACTTGCCTGGTCCAGAACCTGCCACAGCTTGTGATGAGACAATGAAAGAGCAACAACACACTTATGAGGTCAATCCTCTGCTCTCCTCATGGTCACGTGGTTCGACTAGGAGCATCTTGCACAGTAGTGTGAGCCCTGACTGGCTCACACTGCTGTGTGTGTGTGTGTGTGTGTGTGTGTGTGTGTGATCCACAGCTTGTGATGAGACAATGAAAGAGCAACAACACACTTATGAGGTCAATCCTCTGCTCTCCTCATGGTCACGTGGTTCGACTAGGAGCATCTTGCACAGTAGTGTGAGCCCTGACTGGCTCACACTGCTGTGTGTGTGTGTGTGTGTGTGTGTGTGTGTGTGTGTGTGTG